TTTGGGCCTGGGCCTAATCAACCCGTGTCTCGGATCCGAGGGGTATCACAATATGTATAGATCAAACTTGTTAATTAAATGATCTTAGCATGCAACCCCAACAAGATTTGTAAATATGAACATATTCCGTTAAATTGCTAAAACTAAATTAAACAATTAAACCTCTTCCAACTGTTAACCGTCTGCACCGTTGTATACATTCCTACGATTAAACCCATGAGTTCAGAGACATTAATTTATCAAGTGTGGCTCTAATGTAGCATAGTACAATGATTAAAATCCATGTTCTAACCCTTTTAAATTTCTAGACACCGTTTACACAATTAAATCCTTCCTGTCCGTCAAGTCCATAAACAGCCTGTGACTTGCTTCGGATTTTCCCACGGTTTAAACCATTAGCATATAAATAAATTAATGCATCCTAGGGCTTTAATATTCCATGAATTAATATTTAAAACCATCACAATAACCCAACCATAGTGGAAAAATAACCCAATTAACCAAACAAGGCGTAATTAACCTTCTGTCTTGCACAAAATCACAGAGCCTTCTCTTAAAAAAAACTGGAGAAGGCTCTAAGCTACCTAGAGACGTCTCCAACTAAGGGAGAGCCTTCTCTAAGTTTTCAAGAGCCTTCTCTAAGTTTTCAAAAGCCTTCTCTAAGTTTAAGCTTCTGTAACACATGTTGTAACACCCAGCCACAGAGCCTACTCCGTTGTTTACTTTCTTACCATTGCATCCATTACGTCTGCAGATATAATTTATGCCATATAAGGATTTAAAGTTTCATGAAAATCATATTTAGAAACCCTTGTAAACTTCCAAACCCTTCTGAAAAATAAAACTTCTCCAAACAGTGCACAAAGAATTTCAGAAACGCACACACACAAGTGAGCCTGCTCTAAAAAAACTGGAGCAGGCTCTTTGCCACCTAGGCTCTTTGAAGGGGGAGACGGCTCCCACAATCTGGAGCCCTCTCTCTCTCACTTTGAGCCTTCTCCTCTGCTCTAAATTCGTCTTTGCTTCGTTCGGTTGCCTTCTGTGCTTCCGGCGAAGCCCACTGTCCCATCCCAAACTTTTGTAGCATTCCTAGGACTCTATTTAAGTTCCTAAAGTCCTAGGAACCTTACATAAACCTGTGTGATTTAATTGACCCAAAACTTAAAGCATAACAGACAGTTAACTGCAAGAACCATCGTTTCAGTTAACAAAACAAAAGAACAATTTAAAGTCTGATAACATGCATCAACATTCCGTTTTAAAGTTCAATTAACATCCTGGAGACTACATAGAATGCACAGAACATAAGTTTACAGGAAAGAAATAGACTGAAACTTGCCTTAAAATTCCGATTTGAAACCTTTCAATGCCGTTGCTAAATTCCAGAATTCACCAAGACCGTTTCTCCTCTGATCACAGTTTCATTCCACTGTTGCTTCTTAATTCCATCCCGAAGCAACCCCTTTAATTAATCTCTCAAGACACTCTGTGATTTTCTTTCTGTATTTTCCTCTCAAGACCCTATCACGTGAATAGGGTTTTCCCATAACCCTAGCAGCCGTCTAAGAATATATATATATATATATATATATGCATCCCACATCCTAAGTCGGCTTAAACTTATATCTACAAGTTGTTAATTAAAACCTAATATAAGTCGGCGTCCCAAAACTATATGAAACTAAAACCCTAGCATACATATTTAAAACAAATAACCCACCTAAGCTTCTAGATAAAATATATTAATTAAAACCAATAAATCAAATAAGTAAATTTAATCATAATTAAACAACTAACTAAAACCTACAAATAATTACATGTAACCAATTAAATAACACAAATACATAATTACAATTAACCAATTAAATAAAACAAATAAATAATAACAATAAATCAATTAATTTAAAATAAAGTCACACTAAATCAACTAAGCAAATAAACCACATAAGTCACAAAATTAAATCAAAATGTTATAAAAACAAAATAAATTCCCATTTTATCTGTTTTGAAATTTAGGGTTATTACACAAGCCGAGCTCGAAAATGTTCAAGCTTGATTCGTTTGTTAAACGAATTTCAATGAAATTATTATAATTGGGCTTGTTCGACTAAACAAACCGAAATTATTTCATTAACAAACCTATAACCTGTCAATATTAAGCTGCAGTTGCAAACACTTTCTGTAATACCCCTAATTTTAACAAGATAGTCTCAGTATTTATTTATTTGTTTTAATTATATTTTTAATTATTTAATTGATTATTTGACTAATTATTTATGTGTTTAATTGAATTAAGTGTTACTTGATTATTTGGATTATGTGTGTATGTGTTATTTGTATTTGTCTATGTGTTAATTGTTTAATTAGATTATGTGTTTAAATGGTGTTTTGATTAATTGTAAATTAAATGTTTTATTTTATTTTATTTTATAATGTTTTATTTTATTTTATTTTATTTTATGGTTATGGTTAGTAGTAATGGGCCAACCAATTGGGTCCCATGAACTACTTGGATAAGAGGTTGGATGGGTATGGATAATTACCCATAGATAGTTGTATATGTATTTATTAATTACTTTTATGGTAATTTGGGTATTAATATTTAATCTGATGTATGTATTCTATATATTTATATAATAAAGATATATAGATTTTATACGTATCATTTTTTTAAGTTACCTTTTAATATTATGGTAACTTAAATGTTATTAAATAATCTGTTAATAAATAATCGGATGTATGTAATTTGTTTATTTAATAAGGTTAAACATAAATTATATACGTAACATATTTTAAGTTACCTTTTCAATACTTTAATTTTAATTTTAATTTTTAATTTTTTTAAGTTGACTTAGATTGAGAAAAATATTAGGGTTAGTTTGTATAGCCTATAAATATATAACTATAGGTAGTAAAAGGGGTTAGAAATATTCACGTAATATATTCTAGAGAGATAGAGTTAGAGAGAGAAGGAGGAAAAGGAATGAATGAGGAGAAAACCCTGTAGAGAGAAGATCAAGAAAAAAGAAGTTTAACTTTCGATCCGAAAGTTTAACTTTTGAAGTTTTTCTTCTATCTCTTTCCCTTAGATTTGTTTTCTATACATGTCTAAGAGATTTCAGCATTTTTAAACACATAAAACTAAATAATTATGCATATTTAATTGGATCAGAACATAAGTTTTATGAATTTGGTTCATAGTGTTCTTGTTATATGAATTGTTAAATTCCTGGATTTGATCTGGTTTCTTTTATGAACATTCACATGTTTAAATTATGTTTTTTTCATATATGTGGATTGATGGAACGTAGAGACATGCCTAAGATTCCTGAAACAAATAAAGAATGAATGCACAGCGAAATTCTGGGTTGATTCGGGTAACAGTGTTCGGACCGCTGTTACAGTGCTCGAGCAATGGATGAAAAGCTTGAACTTGTAAAGAAAAGCTCGAGAAATTGGTTATAAAGCTCGAGCAATGGGATGTAAAGCTAGAGCCTGGGATGTAAAGCTCGAGCAACTAGGATAAAAAACTTGAGCTTGAAGTAGGATGCTTGAGCCTTGGACAGGGTGCTCGAGCATTTGGGACAAAAGCATGAGCATTACCTGGAAAAGTTTCGTAAACAGCTTAGTGTTACTTCTGGTTGATTTTGAAGGGTCCTGAACATTAAATATGGACTTAGGTTTGGGTTTAAATAAATTTAAATAGACTCGATCATAATGATGTTTGTTATTTAAATGTTATACAAACGAATGGATTTAATCTTTTAAATTGTTCTAGCAATTGAGATTAATTGTGTAGGATGAATTGGATACGGAGAATGCTTACTTGACTGTGTAATAAAATATCAGTCTGTTTAAGATGCAGTTTGTGTAGGATATATGTTATAGGAAGCATAAATAAATAATAAGTCGTTCCTATTTTGTGATAACTTGATATTATATTATTATGGTTATTATGGATTGTTTGATGTATTTCCTTAATTGTTATATCAATTGTTGGATTGTGTGGTTTAATACACTAATATAGGACGGTGGCATTTTAGGGACGGATTAATCAAAGAAGTTGAGTCCTACCTATTTTTGTATAAGCAAATGGATTAACTAAAATGTTAAGTCATCCTTATATTCAAGTCAGATCAACTAAACAAGTTAAATGACTTATAAAGGATTACTTGTAAAAGATTAATTTTTACTCGATAGAATGGTTACTTATATATAATTATGGTGCCACGATATGAGCTTGAGTCTCAGGATCAGTGGTTAGGACGCGTATATCGCCAGGGATGTATAACTAGATATAGTGTAGTTGTGTGCCCTGGTAGGTCTAGGTACTCATGCCCACTATATTTGCATGTTGCCTATTATTCAAGTTGAGTCAACCCTATAGTCTAGTGAGATTCCTTTAGTGTATATTTATATATATATACGGACTACTAGTTATTGTTGGATTGACTAGGATGTATACGTGTATCGAATCTCTGTTTGGACTGTAGTAGAGTAGAACTTGTTTGTGGGCCTGACTCACCATTATTTTTCAGGTGTTCGTCAGGAATAGAGGTTGTTCGTGCTGAGCAGAGATCAGTCTATTTCATTCTTCCGATTCTACTTAGGAGGTTCTTTTATGCTTCGTTCTTCGGTTGTAGACAGTTATTACTGTCAATTGTTCAGTTTGGATTTTCTAGGGGTCCACATAGTATGGATTCATGAGTTGTATTATTTGGAGGATCAGTTGTATCAGAAGAGTTTATTAATGAATGAAAATTTATTATGATATTTTATTATTGGGTTATCATTTTAGTTTATTTTCAAGATTTTATTTATTCTGTGTTCGTTTATTACCGATTTGTTTTTGATATCCCCGAGTATTCGGGCGTGGGCCTGACCAACCCGCATTCAAAAATCTAAGAATATCACACTTTCTAACACAAACTCATTATTATTATTATTATTATTATTATTATTATTATTATTAGAAGTTAAAGCAATTAAGCTGGGCCATTTGGTCCCTTGGAACAAACTCATTAAAGTTCACCAAAAGAAAGTCATGCTACTGGTTCCCCATAAGCTAATCAACTGCAACTTGCAAGCATTCTCATTTAGACTTAATGGTACTACTACTAGTCTCACATTAGCTGATAGCATTCATATCTATATAATTAATAAATTTTAAAGCCAAATAAAACAAATACTACTAGTCTTCCACACAGACTGTCAAACTTAAGCTGTACTTGCAAGCAATTCCTCGGCCTCGATTTTTTTCTTTGCAGCCTCCCAAGCCTTTATTTGCCGGTGAACCTCCCGTCCATAATATTCTGCGTCTTCATCATCAAATTTTAGCAGATCAGACTTCATTAACTGATCACGAACGTATCTGAAAAAAAAAAAAAAAAAAAAAAAAAAAAAATATTTGGGGGTCAAAAGAAGTAGCAATTACAAATACTGCCCAATTAATATTATTAATTGTTATTAAGACCAATTAGACAGTAACCATAGTAGCAGCAAATACAAAAAAAACTAAAATATATTAATTCTATTAAAATTGACAAACATAAAACAATTATAAAGGAAGTAAATTGAACCTCCCACTGCTATCTATGTCAACTGGTGGTCACTGGTGCTGTTAATGGTGTACAGATTGTGGCGATTTAGGGTTGGAGTGGTTTTTCGACAGAGATGGGTTGGTGTGGTAAAGAATAGGTCACGCATGCATGTTTGGTATGAAGTTCGAGTCAGATCATTCTTAATATCCTTAAGCTCGCCATTACATTCAAAATTTCAAGTATCAGATTGCCAAAGACATCAACCACAAAATAGATTCAAAATATTACAATGACAGCTCCAGGATCATGAACATTAAATTAAGTAATGGTTTCATCGACATCTATGATCTATCCACTTAGTAGAAAACGAGTAAAAAATTTAAGGGAATAAGACAAACCGATCATTGAAGTTGAACGGATTAATCCACACCCCATATCTACTGTAAGCCAAAGTGTAATCAAAACAAATTAAGATATAAGACACATTATACAAAATACTACTTCCAAAACAATTCTTAGATACACAAAATATGAGCATTGTATGAGAACAAGTGTTAATTCAAGGTATGAAGTAGTCAAATGGAGATGTGAACAAGAGAGTGAAACCATACCAACTAGCAATTAGCGTACCGGAACCATAAGTAGCAACAGCAGCCACCGGGATGGAAACTGATGTAAAAAACCAAAATTAGTGAAAATTGAAGCACAATTAATACGACAGGGAATTTTAGGGGGGAGAGAAATACTGATTTTAGCAAGCAATGACATCTTCAACCGCCTTTCAATTCTTCTGATTTGATCCTCCAGAAAACCCTAGAATCTGTCAAATGTTTTATAAAGAATGAACAGGTAACAAAAAGTTAATTTGTTCCTCCTGAATACCCCTACAGAATAGCTTTAAAATAGAGGAATTTTTATTTTTTATTTTTTATTTACATAAAATACAAAATAGAGGAAGGAGGATATGGAATCAATCCTTTTGGATTTAAAATCAAATTTGGAGAGGGAACCATGTCCGATTGGGATTTTAAATTAGAATCGGAAAAGGACTAGGAATTGAATTGTGTGTTTAGAAATAAAGGAAATAACATAATTATTTTATTGTGTTTTGGAGATTAAAGAGTTAAATTAACAAAATGAAATAATATATATATATATATATATATATATATATATATATTAATTTCTTAAGTGTGTCCTCTCTACCTCAGTGATTTTATTTATGATTCTTACTTTAAAATTCGTTCCCTTCTACCTCTTCTTTAGAGTATTCCTCATTTAATAAATATTTTTTCTAATTTTTTCCATTTAGTTAATATATCACTCTTTTTGAATAGTATTGTGTAATCTGTTGTTAATGCATTTAATTTGATTTAAGCTTTTAGTTGATCCATCTTGATTCTTTACTAATTTATAAATGTATTTTTCTCCCACTTTAAATATCAAGTAAATTCCAATTCCTCTTTATTGGTGAATTTTAATTTCAGTATGGTAGGAAATTGAAGTATCGTCATACATCGTGGGCTGTGAAGTGGTGGTGGCGGGCTGTGGAACGGGGATGGTTATCGATTTATTTATATAATGTTGTGGTGGCGGACTGGTGATGGTGGTGGCGTCCGGATGTGGTCTGATTTTTGGGTTTAGAATATACATGCATATATATATATATATATAAAATATACATTTATATATGTAAATCTCGATTAAGAAATAAGAGAGATAGAGGGTAGGGTTAGGGTTAGGGTTAGAGTTTTTTATGGAGTAGTTAAGGGGTTAGAGAGTGTGTGGGTGGTGACTGGTGAGGTGTAATGAGTCCATAATATGTGTAAAAGTGTCATTTAAGAGTTTTGATATTTTAAATTTTAAATTAATAAAATATTGAAGGACAATTTTGACTTTTTACATCTTTTAATGGAATGTTAAGTCTATTTGGATACAATTTTTGACAGGGTTTAATTATTAAAAAAAGACCCAACTTGTACATGGCTATTAATATATCAAGCTCTCAAAATTTTAAAGGATATGAAAAAAATATTTATTTTTTAATTATCACTTAAAAACTTGAGTACTTAAAATTCAGCTCTTAAAACCATCAACACTTAAAATTCATCTCTTAAAACCTTCAGTACTTAATTTTCAATTTTATCAAACAATACCTTTCAAATCTTTTCGCCGACATTTTTTTTATGCATTTTATACCAAACTCTTTGATTTATATGTCTACAATTAATATGCAATGTTGGTTTGTGAGGCTCTCTTAAGAATCACTCAATTTTTGTTTTACTTATTCCACTTTCAAATGTTACGAAGTTCTCTTTCTTTTTTCAAAGAAAATGTTAATTATATTCAGGGGAAAAGTATGTGAGAGGAGGCAACCTTTAATCAAAAAAATTTTGTCGGGATAATAGTAGAGTTTTTCTCTAATTTTAGTGGGACAAACTCAACATTTTGAAAGTATAAAATTTTAAAAATCAAAATTAATAGGTAAAATAACAAAAGGAAAGATTTTCAGTGGGGCAATTTCCCCTACTGAGTCCATCATAGATCCATGTGTGGTTATATGTAAGTTATATGTTTTTGCAAAGCCTAAACTTGTTTTTCCTGTGTCATTTCACTCTCCAAAATCATATCCTCCATCAATTTATGTATATTCTCCATCAATTTATGTACATTCTATTTTATTGATGCCTACATGTCCATTAAAATTACCGCCTAAGAATATAATTTAATGGTTAGATATAAATTGTATCAATTCATCAACCATGTTCCAAAAGAGGGCTTTTTAATATTGTCATCTAATGCCTCCTTATGGAGCGTAAGCACTTTTTATTATATCTTCAAGTTATGTTCTTCTAAAACAATTTTAATACTCTCTTCGTTCCATTTTTGTTGTCCACTTCGTAAACTGTGACTATTGCGAGTTACAGTTTACGAAGTGGACAATAATAGTAGCAAGACTAGTAGCAAAAGGGTTCATTCAGACCTGTTGTAATGAACCGGTCATTTTACTTCCTTTCTTTTTTTCAGTAATTTTCTTTTTTCGTCTTTTTCCCTATTTCGTCCTCTTCTCGTTTTTCATTTTTTCTTACATAACCTCACTTTTTGTGTTCGGATTTAATTCCGGCTTTGCATACATCTATGATATTTAAATTTCATGATATCTACATTTTTACTTTTGTAGAAAAGCATATCAAATGTTTACTTTTCTTGTAAATTGCATGAATACATGACTTTTGGTAATTATTCTAAACTTGAGGGATTTTTTATGTAATTAAATAAAGTAATTATTTTTCGTCTTAGGGACCATTTTGCAATTAAATTTGAAAGATATTTTCAAAAAGAACCTTTTTGCAATTTACGAAAAAGTGTGACAAGTGTCACACTCTCATTAGCCCACTTGTAGCCCCCTCATTGATTATCCATGGGAGCCTTGGATGATGACACATGAAGGGTGGAGATTCACCCATTTGTTGGCCTAGAATTGGAGCACTTATTGTCTTAGATGAATGACAAGTGTAGACTTAGGATTAAGCATAGGAAAAAGCCTTAGATTCATGACAAGTGTATGACTCACCTTTAGTCTTACAAGTGTGTGTGTGTGAGATAGTGCAAGAGCACCTAGTGAGTGGAGAATCCCACCACATTAACTTAGGGTTTTATCTCATTTTACTCATTTCATCTCTTTCCTCTCAAGGACCATAACTTGGCCACCATTAGAGTAAAGCTTGATTCAAGGTTTTAAGCTTCATTTTGATGCCCTTCCACTCACCTTAGACCTATAAGCTTGGAATACTTTATATTCCTCTCATTCTCCTCTATAAAACCCTAGTCTGGCTTCCCATTTAGAGCTTGGTTGCTTTGGTTTATAAAGATACAATTCTCTATTGAGGTAGGGGGTGTTATAATTTATTTTCCAAGTGATTTAAATGTTCTTGTAGTGATATCCAAGTTGTATGCGTGTCTTGTATTGAAATAAGAAATAAATGATTAATTGTAACTTGTATATAATTCACTTTAGACTTGATATATAACATGGCCATAACTTGATCTTTGTTGTGTAGTAATTTGGCATGATTTAAATGAGCTTTTAAGTCTAGAGGATTAATTGATTTAAGTTGATTTAAATTCTAATTAATTGTACCATGCTTGTATTTCATTTTTGATTTAATATATGGCATGGCCATGAATTACTCCTTGTTATATCTTAAATTGGAATCATTTGGACAACTCTTGAAATCTAGAGAAATCATGTTAATCTAATGATTTAGTCATGTAATCCATGGCACTTGTTGTGTTTTATCACATATCATGACTTATTACTCTATTTATTGATTTTGGAAACTTGGGATATCATCAAGAACATGACATGCTAGGACTTGGTTCTAGTACGGGAGATAGAGAGCTTCCTATACTATAGCGTGTATTAGGGGAAGGTACCCATGGGTTAATAGCCCTGAAGTGATCTCAAGAGTACGGTTTTAGTCCGGGCGATATCCAAGTATTCATCTTAGTTTGATTTCACTCTTTAATTTCCAAACTTGATAACCTTGTGATATTGTATCTCATTGTGCTATGTTAAAAGTTCTAATGTCATTTTAGTAGCATGGACTAAATTCTATTGAATTTAAAACTTTTTAATAAGTTAAACTTATGCATACTCATTCCCTACGAGTAAACTTGTTTACTCACCCCGAAGTTACCGGATGTTTTTCAAGTAAAGAAGCTTCATTGTGGGATGCACAACACTTTTAGACTTGCTAGAATTCTTGGAGTATTTTTGGTGACATTGAATAGGCATTGTTAGCATATCATAATCCTTTTTGGTGTATTTTATTAAAACTTGTATTTATTGTCTAAGCTATGTAATATGCACTTAAGTGCACCATTTGTTACTCTTGGGATGAATATGTAATAAGGCCAAGGGCCAAAGATACTTATGTGCCATGTATGCTACTTTATTTTCATATGTTGTTTATGAAAATTTAAGCAAAAATCTATGTATTGGGATATGATTCAAAGCTTCATTTTGATTTAGCATGTTTTTTATGCTTGCATGGGGTTAAAGAATGTTTAGAAACTCGTTCGGATCAATTAGGAAGCACCTATAGCCTTGAAACCAAGCCCGCGCACCGTCAAATAAGGCTCGAGGGGGCACCTGGCGGGGGCCCGCAAGGGACCGGCGGGGCCTCGCACATTTCCCACGGTTCTGCCCATTTGGGCGGGCGCCTGCGGGTTTTAGGCGGGTGCCTGCCTTGCTTCTGGGCTCTGCACCTCCAATTTCGGGTCATCGTATCTCCCTCGTTTTAACTTTGAATTAGTCCGTTCTTAAGTCTAAACTGACTGTGTCGAAATAAACTTTCCAATGGTATAAATTAGAGCTTCAGATTCCATTTGTAACTCAAGTTATTCAAGTTTTAGTGAGGTAGTGTTAGGATTTGGTTTGAACCGGAAATGGGTTTTCTTTCCTTAACTTCAAGACTTGATATCTTCTTCGTTCGGACTCCAAATCAAGTCATTCTTGAGTCCATTTTTATTAATTTTTCGTTGTCTTTCCAATGGTATGCTTTCTAGCATCCATTTCTCTATGAAATAACCATTTTGCCCCTAAGTTCATTCTTGTCTGTTTTTGAGATATCGTTTCCGCATTTGCATTCTTTGGGTTTCGTGACCTCATTGAGGATCACATTTGTATTTTTATAAAGGTGTAGTAACTCTAAAGACCATTGTTTCACCTTTTACTTCCGCATTCGGGATTCATTATTGGATTTATGTTCGGTTATCATAGGACGCACTGGCCTAAAAACCAGGGCCGTCACACCTATGAAATTGATTATCAGGAAACTTTTGCTCCTGTAGCCAAGATAAACTCGATCAGAATTTTGTTATCTTTGGCTGTGAATTTCAGCTGGCCATTACACCAGTTAGATGTAA